GTGCATCAAAATGTGATTTTAAATGCACTAAACTCGCATTCATTCAAGTGCCAATGTCAGTTTTTGTCTAACATACTGGAGCAATTTGTCCCATGATTTTAATCTAGACCTGTAGGCAATTTGAAATATTTATTTGCTCTAAAATTCACAAAAAAAAACAAGAAAAAATATGACATTCATTGGTTTGATACCTTCCTTTTAGAGAGGGCTTTTACAGTCTGGGTATAACTTAACTTGGAAGCTGGATATCGGCTGGCTTTGCTTTTTTTCATAAATACTTTATAAAGTGAGTATCCTTGTCCATCTATAAATTCAAATTTGTCTTTGTATCATCGTAAAAACTACTAGTTCGTGTACCCAGGTGTTAAAAATACTAATTTAAAAGTTTATTGATATATTCATCACCATGTACTTTTCTTGTGTGACCACCTAGAGATCGCAACACATCATACATTGTACCACTGACAAACTCAACAAAACAGGAAATCCAAATAACTCATTCTCACCAATGAAAGAAAGAAATGTATAATTACCAGTATATATTTTAATTATTTCTAATGCATTGCAATATAACTATTAAAATTGAAAGAAGTTGCAATATAAAATATTCCATCTGTGACACTTCTCGAGGGTGTATTTGTTCAGTCTGAAAGTGAATGTTGTAAAGATCGAGAGTATTGAAAATCGAGTCTTGTCACCATTACCTTTTTGAGTGAAAATAGGTGTCCAGAAATAGGATAGGTTATTTATTAGGTGTTTTTATGGAGGAAATGGGTTTATTTTTATTACAGACTCTGGCATGGGAAAAGTCAAGGATAATTAAAAATGGCGACAAAGGTTAAAACATTGACTTCTTAAAAACTGCAATTTGGGTAGACCTTTTTTAGATTTGTTCATTATATCATTTCTAGTAAAAAGAGATATTTTTGATTTTGCTATGAGAACCACAAATCAGATTACTTTGATACTATACAAATAGGTACATGTACCTCAGGTGGCCCAATTTATCGGTCTTGATGTATTTTATTGGAAATGTACACAAACTATAAGAGAAAGCAGGAGAACATGAAGGCGACATGTTCAAAATGAAAATAAAATCCATCAATTCTTGTTACCATGGAGCTGAATTAAGAAGTGCCAATGACACCTGGTACTCAAAATCTTCGAATCAGCTTGAAATTTATACCTAAAATAATAGATGAAATGCAGAAATGCAAGTTGAAAGGGTTTCTACATTGTATGAGAACAATTCCAGATGTATATGTCTACTAATTAATTTAATTTCAACCGTTATTCTTTAACAAGCATGCCATTCCTTGCAAATAGTATATTTTCAAAGTGGGTTACAGTCATGTGACCTTGTGATACATATTTTGTGAAACCTATAAAGCAGGAAAAAAAATACACTGTGATTTTACTGTAGGTGTGTTTTGTAACTCTGTGCATGAATCTCAGTTTGGATACAAAAAATGTATGAATAGCATATCCTGTTTAATTTCTGGCCATACATTTTGTAAGAGAAATTTAATACATCTAATTTCTGTTGATACTAGACCAGCCAATTATTCACTCTAAATTACTAACTATGCTTTTGGTCCATTTTTTTGGCATGAATAACATTTCACCTACCGTAATTCAAACAGGGACTATATCGTTAACAATGACTTGTTGAATTTAATTTTCTATTTCTTTCTTTTATATGTTGCTAGGCATTGGCCAATAATGATGTGGAATACAGTGTACAGCGTAATATGCTAGACTTCCCACAACATGTCTCTCCAGATAAGGACATCAGAGAAGCCAGCACGGAGGCAGATAAGAAGCTTTCTGATTTTGATGTTGAAATGAGGTAATATACATGTAAAGT